TTTAAATTAAATAAATCCAAATTATTCGAAAATTTGTTAACAAATTTATACTTTCCTCTTCCTTTTTCTATTAAATGGTGGACTACTTCGCATGAATAAAATCCACGAGGAGAATTTTCATTGTGGCTGCAACTTCGTGTTTCGTACAATTCAAAACAGCTTCTGTTTCGAGATATATTTGAGTTTGAGTTTGAGTTGTTCACGATTCTGGCCGAGTGTGTCCGAGGTCGCTACGTGAAATTTGCATTTCTCCTGAGGCACTTTTGCCAAAAGAATTCAAGATCAGCTGTATATCTGCGCGCGGCACCGATTTCACAGTGTTTCCTCGTACGGTTATAAATATTAACACATGCCAACGCATTTTCACACTGGAGACGCGCGTTGAGGAGGAAAAAAGAAGATCGTTTCTCAAAAGTGAATATCTATTAAATTATTCCTTTCAATTTTTCTTCTTTGATCGAGCTTCGCTTCCCCGTTCGATTCGATCAACTTTAATTCCCCTTCTTTTGATTTTTGAATTTTTATTCCAAGCAATAGAAAAACTTTAACGTTTTAAGATTGGATCAAATGTAATAGAAGAGAACAAGTAGCAGAGAATTAATATTGAAGATAATATTTCATTATTCAAAAATAAAAAGTAATATTTTTCTATTTCATTTGATACTGAATAATATAATATAATTTAAGAGAGATCGATAGCCCATTCTATTTAATTAATTTCCTATTTAAGAGATTGCATATAAATATATTCTTAATAATCTTAAACAAAAGCAAAAACGTCATCTGTTTGCTTGTAATTTTTATAAATTCTCATCCATAATTTAATTACTAGAAATATCGAATATATTATATTATATTCTCTAAATATTTACATGTATATATTATAATTTGCGACAAATTTTCTTTTCTCTTCACTTCTTCACGTTCCATTTTATTTCATAATCGATTACACGTTGCTGTTAATTAGAATTTGCAGTACGTGAAGCGTGAGTTAGAAGCGATAGCTTCGAGATAAGTTGAGTCTGGACTAAACAGAACAACGTAGAAACGGTTTGAAATTCGCAACGAAAATCACGCATATATGTATATATATATATATATATATATATATATATAA